GTACAGTATAACTAAAATGTGAAATTGAATTATAGAGTGCACATCTTTATGCAAGAAATCTGTTAGCACAGAGATTTATTTATTTCTCTATTAACCTTTACAAAAAAGTTACAAAGAATACAATGGTATCTTCGAATTCTTCTAAAATATTGACTATTATAATATTCCACATAATCCATTATTGTCATAAATGCATACTAAACGTTAACATAACGCTGAAACAAAACCATGCATGGTACACATACAATCACGTACATAAGAAACCTTGCAAACAATCTTATTAAAATCTACTTTCTAACGAATTGTTAAGATGTTGTTAAATTAAAAATGTATGTATAAATTCAATAGAAACATTTTAGTAAACATAGTACACCACGAAAACTTGAGAATCGCAAAACTTAGGGGAACTACGTTCCTCCATAAAAGATGAAGTGTATAATTTTATGGAACGCCGTGGCATTTAAAAGGATTCTTTTTCATTTCAAAAAAAAGTTCAGTCCACCGAATGCAAGTATTTCAAATTGATACATTGTTTGGCAGGAAGGATTGATTTTCAAATGCACAAACAGGACCAGCCTGAATTCTAATGGTAAAATCCGGTCGCAAATTATTATTATAATGAGAACCGTAAGGGATTGCGTGTTGTCCGTATATTTCACGCTATAAATTGAATCGTGCCCCCCTATTATGTAGGGTTGGGTCGCTCTCAGGCTTAGGTATACAGAATATAAACTAGATCTAGGCCAAATCCGTCCGAACCCTGCGTTCCTGCGGCTCAAGCACGACAGTAACGTACTTAAACAAATTATGAGAAAGCTCGTTTGATGGTATTTTTTCTGCGAATAACGTATAACGAATGGGAACCATCTTCTTATAATGAACATCAGAAAATTTAATGCGATGATTGATATTATCGAATCTATCGAGATTTTGTCATAGAAACTCGTTAGCTGCAATTCGTTGCAACGTTTGATTATTGTATAATCAATGTATCGTATCGTCTCGATTGTAGATTATTATTTACACGTCGTCTTCGTTATCAATATTGTGTTTGTTCGTTGTCGTTCAATGTGTAATGTTTGTATCTACAATTTATGGTTTTCATTGTGTTATATTAAGTATATGTATGTATACCGTGCAAGCTTTGTCAAAACTAAATTAATACGATCCACGAAATCAAAACTTGAAACAAGTTACATCTTGTTTAGCAAATATAACCTTTGACAACTGTATTGAAAGTGTTCGTAATAGAAATGTACGTTTTGAAAAGGTTCATGCTACAGTTCTGATCAATATAAAATTAAACAATTTGAACAAATGATAGTTGAGTTGTTTATTTATGAAACCTAAAAATCGCCTTTAGTAACTTCATATTAAAGTATGTAAACACATTTTACGATGTTCAAGCATGATGTATATCATAATAAAAAATGAACATTAATAAAATTTGTACGTGATATTTTGTTGAATATGGAGAACAATTTATCCGTGCCAGAAATTTTTATTTGAACCTAGAACATTATCGATCTACACAAGTGCACCGCCCCGAAACTCGAAACTTCCGCGCTGAACTGTATGTCGTTTTTCCTGTCCTGTCTGCCACGTACCAGAGAACTACGAGTAAAGAAGGAAGTTTTACAAAGTGCACGTTGTAGGTATATCGCTGAAACTATATGCTGAAGAGTGAATAAAACAGGTCTATAAACTCTTGAATTCTTACTTCACTAGAAGACAATTTATTTCAAGCTTTATGTATTTATAATTCATGTGGAAAATATCAGAGTAAAGTCAAATGTGAAATAAACTATAAAAGATCGTAGGAAATCATTAAACATATTTCACAATTGGAATGTGCTTCACGTCGAATGAATTAAAAAATTATGAGGAATATAAAAAATTGTGAATCAACTTCCGAAATTTTGTTGGCAAAACTTGTCAGAAAAATCACAATCGTGGTTAAACAGTGTTTTGAAACTGGTATTAATGCAGATACAAAATCATTTAATAAGTTATTAATATATCTGTTTGTTCAAATAAACAGATCAGTAATTAATATTCTTATATGTATAGTTTCCTTAATTTTTCACTGATAAGGAAATATTCTTATAAAAAACAATAGAAACATTTTAAGAATTTAATGGGATTGTCATATTAGCCCCAACCTATAAAAATAATTAAGAAAAAAAATATGTTTCAATGACCAATGAATTTATCAGAAGAATTTAAAAATCTTGTTACGCTATTTTTAATTTATTAATACTATGCATCTTTGTTTAACCTTCGTTGTTTATAATTCATGCGAACAATTGTTATTTTGCATAAAAATTCGCAGTCTTGTAATCACGCTTCACTACTGTCTAACGAATCTATACTTCACTGGGAACACAGTTAGTTAATCTGTAAACGCAAGTAAATAGTATCTTTTAATCCGATCCGAATCTCGATCATTGTGAAATCGTTGAAAACGGCAGATGCGTTGAAAAATATTGTTCTCCCGTTAGACGTAACTGATGTTAACAAAACGTACAAAGGGACATAAAGAATCGGATCAACGAAGTAATCCTTTTACTGGCTGAAAAACTATTCAGGGAGGTAAACGTGAAATGCAAACTCGAGTAGGTGCTTTGGAAAATACAGATCAGAAAATACGATTCTCAGGCTTAAGTGCTTTAAGGATCATCTGCATAATCTGCGATTGACACAAGCACCAGATTACGCCATAACCAGAGTTCTTAAATACTAACGATCCGATCTATGGTCGTTGATTTCTACCAATTTTAAGAAAAGGAGAACTTTTGGATCCTTCGAGTACAAGCCTTTGCGCATTGCACACGAGATGCTTGGAAAATAAATCTTCTTTTATAGTCGATAGGTTCACGTATAGATCTATTTTAAAGTAGTTAAGATAAATTGGAAGATAGCGCTACATGCTCGAAGAAGGTACAGCAAATACAAAAAAATATGAAAAAGGAAGATTATAGGGATTTAATGTTACAATAAAATATCGAAACCAGCAATCGCAAATTTGATTCAAGAATTAAACTTGTTTCAGTATTATAAGTCCTGTGAGTGACATTCTAAATAAATTAATTTGATATATTTGTGATACCGCATTTTCTGTTTATAGTCATTTTTAATGTTATGTACTTAATTTTTCACAACGTTCCCTTATAAAGAATACACAATTGAAGATTAAGTTGCATTTCTATTCCATGGAAAATAAATTTTTTTTTAGATCTTTTAATAAATCTTTTATTATTTTTATTACTTACGGTAGGTTTATGTCAATGTATAGACCTATTTTAAACTAATTACAATAAATTGGAAGAG